TACTTCACCAGCTCAGTCATCCAGCGTGAAATCAGAGGACATTAAAATGGTTCAAGCTACAGCACTGCTCTTTCTGGCAGTACTTTACCAGCTCGGCCATCCAGCATGAAATCAGAGGACATTAAAATGGTTCAAGCTACAGCACTGCTCATTCTTGCAGTACTTCACCAGCTCAGCCATCCAGCATGAAATTAGAGGACATTAAAAGTGTTTCTAGCTTAACACTGCAGGTTGACAACTACCTCATGAACGGGGCTGCTTTAACTTTGCATGTTCTGTAAAATAAGGACAGAGAAGGACTAATCATACAAACCTGAGATAGTTTACCCATTCCTGTGTTGGTCAACAGCCCATCAGGTGGCTTATATTAAATGGCTGATAAAACACCAACCAGCTTCCAAAGGCCCAACCAGTCTTATATATACTTGAGACCAGTCAAACACACGTCTATTACCTTTAATATAGTGTTCCTTTCTGCGTCTAATATCCACATTTTAAAACTGAAAAAAAAACTTGGCAATTAAGACAGACCTAGAATCTGAAAAAATATGGATTGTGAAAATTTACACAAGAATTGTAATTCCTATTTGATAGAAACTGGACGGTACTTACTCAGCATGAATGTGCCTGGATCAATCTGGTTACCGGTATCAAACTGGTTCTCAAGTGGTCCAAGAGCAGCATAAAAAGCATCTGATATTTGGGTATCATTTGGCGCAGGGGAGCCAGCGAAGTAAATAACAAACTCTATGAGAGCTTTGTCACTGGTTTCAACCGAGCTGCCGGTGACAGTTATGCCGACAAAGTCATCGCTGACTGAACTGGTCCTGAAAAGTCTATCCATCTGATGAAAGAATGAGGGGCATTTTGAAACTCCAAATCACCTCAAAGAAAGCTATGGGGACTCAAATCCTTCTTACTCAGATGCAGCATATAGTAAATAAAATCAACTTCCATGAGCAAGATATCATCAATTTCGTCATTACATTAATGATGCAAGGGGCAGACAACTTCAAAACTCCATTTTTCATTTTCGCAAACATAAACCGAAACGACTACAACTTGGACACGTACAAAACGCACTGACGGGAAAGGCATATATAACTAGGTCAATTAATTTTGCATTTTTGAAAAGCGACAGACATCTTTTCAGCTCGAAAACCCTTGAGCAAAGGGACATACATGTATAGGAAAACCTGAATTTTCGTTTTCACAAAGAGGGTCTTACCAGTAATAAATACTGGCCAATTAAACATTGTTTTATTCTAATTATTGGACTCAAAAGTTTACCTTCCAAAAATTATGTGGAATTCTTTACTATATCGAGTTGTTACAAATAACTTTTTTAACATTGAAACTCTTCCTGTGATCATCAAAAATTATTTTTTGTCGAAATCCATGTCCCCCCCCCAGAAAATTATTTGACGATCCGGGTGTTTGTCCATAAGCATCTGGAGCAGAATAATAGACCACTACTCGTCATGAGTATTTTGCTAATCTGTTTCCACGTGCACCGGGAGCACAGCCTCAAAATGATGTCTACATCTCCTTTATTTCTTTTTTTGTCATTGGTGAGGTGGCATTTTCCGTTCAGAGCTCTATCTGATACTAACATCACTTCTGAGCCCAGGTAGTGTAGTCTGGACATCGTTAGCCACAAATGGGCTGGTCATGGAGCCAATCCTTATCAATGCTACACTACCCGTGGTCTCATATGTTGCTGTCAAGAAAACAAAAAAAGATAATACAGTCATTAACAGCAAATTTCAGCGCACAGAAGGGAGGCAGAGCTGTTTCAGTTTCAAACATATATTGAACATTCCCAGGTTTTCATCACTTGAAGTTTACCACATCTATATCAAGTCCCCTAATCTTGTTTTCAATTTATCACTTGAAATTGAATTGGCTAAATGGCCGATGATCTAATAACAAATTTTCACAGCACGTCGGGTAGATTTTTATTTGAAAATTGATGGAAAAATGTGATGTTTTATGAAAACATTAGTAAAACTTCATTCAGTTATCCTGTAGGGGATTTAAATTCTGGTTAATGATTCACTGACACAATGTCTGCAGACCATAAAACTTATATCACCTGGAAATCTTTTACCAAATGAAACAAAATTTCTCGCCAAGATAAAACGGTCAACTTACGGAGTGTTTCTTGCACGACCACGGAGAATGAGCACGTGTCTGTGTTCCCAGACATGTCTGTTGCTGTATATGTGACTTGAGTTGAACCAGTTTCAAACTCATCGCCCGGATTTCGGTTAGATGTTAGAGTAAAGTTATTGGTATCGTTTGCCGTTGGTGACGTCCAGTAGACAGCAGCTACGTCACTGGTGGACAGGACGTAGACAGTTTGGCCAGATGGACAGTCCATAATGACTGGGTCCCCACGATCTGTAAATAAACAGGATTATCTCAACAGAATGCAAATTCGTGTTTATCTTTCGTTTAAGAAACAGCAGTATCCGAAGACTGCATCATCAAAATCAGTAAAGCAGAAATTTGAAATTTGGAGTTGTTTGTGACCGTGGAAACCTCACTATCTAAGATACAGTTAATATTACATACAAGCACAATGCAATAGTGCCAACAGCAATGAACCATCCAATTTAAATGTGCCCTACACTCCAGGAGGATCCGAGGTTAAAATATCTTAGGGCTCAGATAAAAACATTTACCTTCCACAGTAATGACAAAGACACACTGGGCAGACTGACTGGCCGAGTCGTAGGCTGTGAAGGTGACAGTGGTGTCACCGATTGGGAACTGAGTGCCAGGACCGTGACTACCAAACAGCATTGGGCTGCTGCGGTCATCAGTGGGGTTTGGATAAGAGAAGCTGACTGTGGCGTAGGACTGACCAGGATCAGTCGGCACCACAGTGCTGGAGGGGCAAGAGATGAACTCTGGAGGGGCATCATCTGAAGATTTCAACCAAACAAAAGCTACATGAAGACACCCATCTGTATTTCAGGCCATCAATGTTTGGGATTTGATTGGCCATCCAACAGCTGGTTTTTTATGTATACGTGTCTACATCCACGTAACACACTGCTTGCTAAAACAAAAGCCATATACCACGCCAAAATAAAGCCTGAAGTAAATCGACCAGACCAACCAAATCATTTCTCAATTTTCTACTGCACACACTTTGTCCCTGTCCTGGGGCAAAAGTTCAACAAGTCAGGTCTCTTTCTTGTTTTATAGAAAACACAACATGAGAGCTACAACCTTAGCAGCTATCACCCTGTTAAAAATTGGAAATGTGCCAAAACGCTCCATCCGTGGTGGTGGTGATATGTCATTTTTACACCCTAGAAATCAGTGAACGCTACAGTTCTCTCTCTTCAAAACTTCTCATTTGTCAAAATTTAAAGATCTTTGAATTGTTTGATTGTCATTTGCCAGTAATCATCAAAAGTCTAGTTACAAAAAACACGACAGAGACACACATGCAGCCAAAAATATAAATAAATGAAGAATTTCATACTCTCAATGGTAATTTGAAATTCGCAATTAGCCGTGTTTCCGCTGGGATCCGTGGCAGTGTAGATGACGTCATACATCCCCACATTCAGCATTTCTCCCGGGGCATGGTTATCATTGGCTTGCAAGGTGAACTCCCTTGAATTATCTGAGGCTGTGGGCGGAGTCCAACTGACAACTATGGGGGCATTATTTATGGTGACCCCATTAATGTTTGCAGGGCACCTTACAATCACCGGATCTTCTTGATCTACGAAAAGAACAGAAAGAGACACACGTTTTCTTTCATCAGAAACCTTGTAACATATTCGGCCCAGCGAATCTATGGACAAAATGCTGTGATGGTACCAATACAGAAGAATATACCTACAGCTGTCAATACAAGCTGATATGCCATGAGGGCATTTACAGCATAAAATTCAGTGGCAACATTTCAGAAATCTATTATTGTGAAGTGTGCCTAATTCACAAATACCTGTTAATTTTTGCTTCTGTAGGAAGAACAAACTAGTCTATTAGCGTGGTTTCCCCTTCTTATAAGGAGTTGGTTGGTTAACAATTTACGTCAGGCAAATTAGCTGTCAAAACAGAGCCCACTTTTGTCCGTTGTTTTAATCCTAAAATTTGGACTTTTGCAAACTAAGCTAGCTGTTTCATGACTGAACTTTTCCAAACATGATCGTATGACATGTTGAAAAAACTCTTCCAAGCTTGGTCAGAATACGAAATAAAGTTTGGCAATATCATAAAAACTAATGTCACAGGATCTTCCCTTTCCAGGTTCTTTAAGGATTACTGATTGCATAATAATAACTGAAATAGTTAACAGCTACGTCTGAGAAAACGGAAATTAAATTAAGAATACAGAATGAAATATTAGGTCAAATACCTAGCACAGTAATGTTGAATTCACAGAATGCTGTCTGCCCAATGGAGTCCGTTGCTACATATATCACCATCCACATTCCAATAGCGAACTGTCTGCCTGGCATATAGCCACTCTGCTCAATGACAATAGGTGTACTGCGGTCATCTTGGGCCTGAGGCACAGCCCATGTCACCAGAGCGTAGGACTGTGTCATGACGGTGCTGACCACAATGTTGGATGGGCAAGATGTGAAGAGTGGGGGAGAGTCTCCTGAATTGGCTAGGGGTTTGCATCGTAAAGAATTTTAGAATGCGAACTGTGTTACCAAATAAAAATGGGAAAATTAGGAAAAATTTAAGACATCTGATAAATAAAATTAGACTGGCTAAACACTGCGTAAGAAATAAATAAAAGTGCATTCTATGTCCATGATTTCTGTATAATATAATAGACTTAAACAGATAACCAGTGCACAAAATGGACTATTTTTTAAGTTGCAATCTCACTTGGCAGTGAGTTCCGGAATAAATTCAGTTAATTTCAAAGATCATTTATGAAAACAGATTCAACTGCCTCAGCCATGTTGGTTGGCATATAAACACACAGGGATTTCCTCTCTTTTAACGCAGAAGGACATTTAGACATGATCTGATGATTTCTGTTTCCAACGCCAAGTGACGTCTACACTCATCCCTATGCTTGAGTTTTCCCACTGAGTTCATACACATACAAGTTTAAACTAGAATGTGGAAGTTGAGCTTGTATACATGGTTGTAGCAAATTGTTCTGCAAAACTGCGGTTTAAGTTTCAAAACGGTGAATTAAAGATGTCATTTGAAAGGATGTGTTGGCGATATCTTGACATTTCAAACAGTGTTTTTCAGGGGGGGAGCGAAAATAATACTGTGCCTAAGACAAATTTGTTGTTGAATAAGACCATCATCAAGACATTAAAGTCGAAGGCCGTCAGTTTCGTTGTCCCCTCGATAGAGGGAAACATGGTCACACTCACCAATGACAGTGATATTGACATTGCAAGTGGCCATGTTTTCAGCGTCATCCATGGCGGTGAATGCAACAAGGGTTGTGGATCCAACATCGAGCATTGCCAAGTTGTAATTAGTTGATACAGACGGTGGGCCATCATTATCGGTGGCGATTGGCATGCCACTGGTTGGCACAATGACGTTACCAAATGCGTCAGCCATGAATTCCAAAGTGACAGGGCAAAACGTGAACACAGGATCCTCATTATCTGAAAAATGAACCAAAACAGTAGAGTGTTGTAAAAACCAAGCCTGTGAAAGGGTCTAATGATTGTCCTAAACGCAATGCCATGTTTTCATTAATAACAAAATCGACTCATAACAAAGGCTAGTTCTGTAACGATTCTTGGGGGTATTCTTCATCCAGATGCCCAACAGTAGAATGGAAAATACTGAAATCCATGAATGTCCTTGAATGCTACACAAACACTTATGGGAGATAGTACTTACAAAATCATGGACTTGCCCACAAAGGGGAGATTGCAAAGCCTGTGATATGTTGCCACAAAGGACTGGCAACATGGTGTTATGGCCTTGTATCAAATTGAATTGACAAGGCTTTTCTATACTAAATGAAACCGAATCACTGATGGCTATTTATAGTGTTGCAGACATCTAGTGGACTAGATATGCTTGCAGGTGGCCAGTAGTGACGAGTTCTAATCTAATCATGATCGGATTCAGATAAACCAGACGTAGGACAATTTCAGATTTTTTTTATAAATTCTTGCAATAACAGGCAGCTGCTTCTCTGAAGAGCTTTCTCGACACTAAAATCAGATATTTACAGGAAAATGACTGGATCAATTCTGCAAGGTGTGACACCCATTTAAAACTAGAATAAGTATCTGGCATTAGGATATGAAATTAACAACTGGTATAGATACACTATCTGGTACTCGAGGTCAGAGTGGGAAAAATACAAAATACAATTTCTCATGAAAAAGTACCTTTTAAGATTAAAAAAATCCAGCTAACTGTTTATTACTTAAACTGAGAAATTACCGACAACAATTGCACTGAATGAGCAGTTGGCCCTGTTGCCTGCAGCGTCAATGGCCATGTAGGTTACCACAGTGCTTCCTATGGGCAGGACAGCCATGGGTTCGTAGTTGGAGGTTAGGTTGGTCACTCCAACGTTGTCTGAGGCTGTTGGGGCCACCCAGAAGGCAGTACCAGTGGCCATACTCGGTGAGGCAGAGCTAACAACGTTGGAAGAACATCTGCTGAAAACTGGGCTCTCATTATCTGAACAAGAGAAGTTTAATGCAGCGATTAACCCTGACCTCCAAGGTGCTGTGTGAATGATATGAAGCTGCATGTGACATGGTTTCACAAACATGCAACTTTTTACAGTTTTGAATACCTACACTTTAGCTTTAATAACTTTTTAAATTTTGAGGTAAGAGCTGACTTTTGATTTATGAACTTGAGTACCATCAATAATTATAATGACAGACACACACTAACATGTAACAGAGATTAACAATAACTGCTACCTTCAGCAACTGGAACACTTAAACGATTGCTACAAATTTGTGCACATTTAAACGAAAAGTGAATCGATCCGAAGACCACATAATGAGTAACCCAAAACCCGGAACCCCCACAAGTTCAGGGTGCACTGAACACGGGCCTTCATGTCCATACCTATGACAGTTACAAAGAAGTCACAGCTTGCGTTCCTTCCGTCTTTGCCTGTGATGGTATAGATAACCACAGTATGGCCCACCTCAAACCGACTGTTGTTAGCATGGGAAGAGTTGACCGCCACCACAATGCTGCTGTTAAACACAGGCGCAGGCCACGATGCCGTGCTGCTGTTCACACTGGGATCAGTGAACAGGGTCAAATCGGCTGGGCAGGCTATCATCAGCATGTCACTGGCTGAGGTTGGAACAAGAAAGAGATCAATAGAAGGGGCCAATGAGATCAATGATGAACACTATATGAGGAAAGAAGAGGATTAGGGTGTGATGAGGAAAGCACACAAGATAGATGGAAGTGGATATAACACCATTCCAGTCGGCTAATGCTGCATTCTCACCTCCCATCAACATCACTTCCAGGTCTGAGGGACAGATAGTGAACTCAGGGAGTTCACTGTCTACCAAGAAATGGAACTTTACATTTATCATCGGATAACACCTGAAAATGGTGCAGTTTAAACCCTGTCAAATATTACATTTGAAAACGACGCAAAGTTTCTAGAGGCAACTTTTCTGTTTTAATGCAAGCATCAGGATACCTTACATTTCTACACATTAGCCCACAAGCATCACCGCAAGGTTAAACCTTTTAATGATGCATTTTAATGTGTCGTGCCTGAGGCAAAATTTCTTGTAAGAGTTAAGCCCCCGTTAGCGTTATTATAAAGGTTTGCTTTTGTACACTCCACCTGATCAAAAGTAGATGCTAACACTTAAAAAAATCGAGTCAGCTAAAAGTGCCACTAACAGTGTCTGCATCATGTAAATAATGTTGTAAAATCTGTTCTGGAAAGTCTTGCTCCGGACACTCTCAGCTTAGTGCAAAAATAGATGAGCCTTACTGGAAGTAGTCTGTTGGACTACAGAACTTCAAGAGACTGGTAGTTTACTCACCAATGACTATTACTTCAAACTCGCAACGCCCAATGTTATTGTTGGGATCCAAAGCGATGTACAACACTGTTGTTGAGCCAATGGCAAATGAATCACCTGACCGACTGTTGCTGGTTGGCGTGATCACTGCACCGCTGTTGTCAATGGCAACTAGTGTATTCCAGGTGGCAATAGCCATGTCACTTCCTGGATCTGTCGCTACAGTGACATTGTCGGGGCAGTTTTGAAAGACAGGACCCTCTTCATCTAATCAAAGATAAAAAGAACAGCCTCGCAAATTTATGTTTTGCAAGTCTGACAATCTAGATTGTTTTGAAAAGTAACATTTTTGTTACAGTCTGTGGGTCTTCAGAACACTTTAAAGTAAAAAGG